TTAAGAACAGTTAATATTTACTAAGGACTTAAAAATGTGCCATTATGCTAAACACTTTACTTGTATTAACTCAATCTTCATAGCAACTGAATAAAATAGGTTTTAATATTATCTCCATTTGACAAATGAAGACATTTAGGCACAGAGAAGAGGTAAGAAATTTGCTCAAAGTCACACAGTAGACAGAGGTAACAGGATTTGAACTTATGCAGCTCTTTTTAGCCCAGTCTCAGTACTCAGCCTTTTTAACTACCACTCTAAATTGACTGTCTTTAAAACATAGAGTTTCTATGAGTCGGAATCAATTTAATGGCCATGGATTTGGGTTCTTACTGTTTTCTTCTTGTTTTTAAGCAAAAAGGACAGCACAGCTCAGGCAAATCCAAACAAATGAACAGCAACAAAAGAATGGCTGTGATACTTAACTAACTAAAAAGAGAAAAGATGGCAATTTGTCAAAGATAAAAGATATAATTCTTAATGGAGATAAATACCCAGCTCAGGACTGCCCAGAAGCTAGCAGTTCCTGCCCTGTAGCAGGTGTCTACTAAGTATTTGTTAAGTGAATGTATAAACTAATAAAGAAGCAAACAAAGATCGGGCATGAACCCTTATGTATTGAATTTAAGAAACAAAACAAAAACATATACAAAATTAAATACCTGAAAACAAACAACAAAAAAAGCTGACAGAGAAATGGCAGCAAAAAGTATAGCCATTTCTGATGTAAGGCCTGTTTTGACTAAGAATTTGTTAGAGAGTGATTGCTGTATTAGGAAAAAATTCTTATTCACTTACATGTAATTTCATCACTATAAAACAGTAAGTTAAAGAAAAAACTGTACCCAGCTAAACTGACGTATATACAAGACACACAGCATGCACCTCAAACATCTACCAGCTACCTCTGTCACGTTCACCACTCATGTTATAAGCCCTGCCCATCCTCATATGGTGTACAACTTTCAGTCCAATTTCAGATATAACTCTCCTCCCTTCAAAATAACTCATAACTCCTTCCGATGCTCACCTCCATAATCAAACTTCGTATCTTTTTCTACATAAACTGACATATTTATTATGATAGTTACATATTTCTCAACTATTTAACACATGCCAAACTGTGTTAGCACTTTTAATAAGTTCCTATCTTGTTTTTAAATGTTATGACTGATAAAGTTTTTGACTGCTGTGTCCTCAACTCATATTTCCCATAAGCCTGTGGTGTTGACTGGACAATTTTGCATGTTGTTGTTGTGTGCCATTCAGTCGATTCCAACTCATAGCAACCCTATAGATCTGAGTAGATCTGCCCCATAGCATTTTATAGGCTATCATTTTTACAGGAGCATATTGCCAGGTCTTTTCTCCCACAGAACTGCTGGCGAGTCCAAACTGCTCAACTTTTGTTTAGCAGCAGAGTGCTTTAACCATTCTGCCAACAGGACTCCTTCAATTTTGCATATAGCAGAGTGATTTTAAGGAATGTGTATGTTCCATTACAGCAGAACTGTCTGTACACAGATATAAATGTTGTTGTTTTTGTTGTTATGTGTCATCAAGTTGGACCCTACTCATAGCGACCCCTCCTTGGGTTTCTGAGGCAGTATCACTCTGGAAGTAGATTGCCCCATCTTCCTTCTGCGGACTGGCTGGTGGGTTTGAACCGCCAGCCTTCTGGTTAGCAGTCAACTGCCTTAGGCACTGTGCTACTAGAGCAAATCCCATCAACATACCTATATTATAAACATCTTCTGTTCAAGTGCCAGTAGAGGGTAATTGCCTATGGTCATATATTAAGTAACAAAGAAAAACTCAATGAAATTCTAAAGAATAAAAATTGTATAATCCATATTCTGACTATTAAACAATAAAACAAGTTTTTAATATCTAAAGAGAAAAAAATACACTCAGAAAGTGAAAATTCTTCTCTTAAACTCAAGTAAAAAAGAAAACAATAAGTATAGTTATAGAATATTTAAGGAAAAATACAATAATGAAAACATTACACATAAAAATTTAAAAGCTAGCAGAGTAGTACTAAAAGCCAAACACACAGACAATAATGTGCTCCTTATTAAAATGCAATCAGAACAGGTTCATGCAGGTTCAACCCACTGCTGATAATTTGCATTTATCTGCATACTGCAGATATACTGAATCAGAATCCACATTTTAACAAGATGTCCAGGTGATTCTTACATAGACATAAGTCTCAACTGGGGATCTGTAAGAATCACCTGTAGATCTTTGTTAAATTGTAGATTCTGATTCTGTACATGGAAGGTAGAAGGGAAATGAACTGGTTACAAGCCCTGATTAAAATAAATGAACTAGATATTTCACATTAATGAAAACACATAGGAGTTAGTAAAAATAAAAGCAAAAAGGTCAAGAGTAAAAATCAGTAAAATATAAATAGATTTTTTGGAATGGGAGACAAAAGCCAACAAAAAAAACAATAAACCCTTTAGCCAAACTGACCAGCATGATGAAAAAAATCGGACATTCAAAAGAAACAATAAGAAAGCAGTAATAACTATGGATGTATGAAATTTTAAATATGTGAACAATCTCACTGAAATCTTTATAAAATTATAAATTCTTTTAGAAAATATGAAGCATTTCTTCTCTAGAAGTAATGTTAAGACATAAATAGACCAAAAATATTTAACAATCTTAAAACTTAGTCAAAGAATGCCTTACAAGACAAACATCAATTCCATATGGTTTTGCAGGACATCCAAAAAACCCAATGTCACCAGGTCAATTCCGACTCCTAGTGACCTACAGGATAGAGTAGAACTGCCCCATAGGATTTCCAAGGCTGTAAATCTTTACAGAAGTAGAATGCCTCATCTTTCTCTCATGGAACATTTGATGGGTTTGAACCTCCAGCCTTTTGATTAGCAGTCAAATACCTTAACCACTGAGTCACAAGAGTTTGTTTTTTTTTTTTTTTTTTTAAACAGGACAGTTCTTAATTTTACAAAGGTTACAAACTAGTAGATAGCCAGCATATAATACAATTCAAAAATGCCAATGTGTTATGCTTGATGGTATGTGAGTGTGAATATGCTGAAATTAGCTGCTAATATTTAAATTTAAAAGTTAAGGTATTTTACACAGAATTTTGGAACTCCAGTATGTCTTGAAAAGTTAAAGGGACAGACTGACAATCCTGGTTTCTGAGGCAACAACTGTAGCAGAAAAATGGCTAGTCTTTTGGGATGTGGCAGTTATTCTGGATTCACGCCAGTACCCCCCAGAGCCCACCACCCTCACTTATGGCACCTTCCTGGCCAGCCCTGCAGGCATTTAAGCAAGCTACCAGCAAACAAACAAAAATCCTCCGCTGGATAATGATGAGAAATCAATTATTTTAATTGTTTGTGTCAATTCCATCAGAATCCACTGGAATTTTTTTTTGATGAGTTAGGAAGAACTTAATAAATTATTTCTAAAGATCTTTTGGAAAATTAAATATGTCATTCATCAAAATAGTGTTTCAATAACAAAAGGGGAAGATATGTACTATTAACGAAATATATCACAAAGCCACAATAATTGAAATGGTGTGGTAGAGACAAAGAGAAAAGTCAATGAAATAGGTTAAGAAGCCAAGAAATCAATGCACATTTAAAATACAATAAAGAGAGCATATCAAATCAGTAGAAAAAGATGGACTACTTAATTCTTAGGGAGTATGCAGTGACACACCTGGAGCCAAAGGGCCTGAACTGGAATACCAGTGCCGCCACGACGATAACCCTAGATAAGCCAGTGCACTCATTTATAAAATGAGCATAAAAACTGTACCTACTCCACAGGATCATCGCAATCATTAACTAATACTTGTAAAGTACTTAGAAAAAGGACTAGTAAACACAGTCAGTGCTATATGTGCGTGGTTAAATAAATAAACGTAAGCAATTCATGCTAAGATAACTCTCAATTCCTAGAAGTGAAGAACACAGTGAACAGGACTTCCATCACATCATATAAAAAATTCACTTAGGGATTTACAAAAGAGTAAAAAATGAAACCAGAGAAAACAAACTATCTCATCTCTAATTGGTAATAACCTTTCTAAATATAATAGCCAAGTTGATATCAAAAAGGAAAGCAGATCAATATATTTGAACACATAAAAATTAAAAGCATCTGTATATCAAGCACTAGGAATTAAAATGAAACTTGAAAGAAATAAGGGTTCATATATACATATATAAGGAGTTCTGGTGGCATACTGCCTAAGGCATATGACTGCTAACCAGAAGGCTGGCAGATCAAGCCCACCAGCCACTCCACAAAAGGAAGACGGGGCAATTTACTTCTGTAAAGATTTACCACTTTGGAAACCCCAAGGGGGTCACTATGAGTTGGCAATGAGTTTTTTTTTGTTGTTGTATATAAAAAATATATATATATACACACACACACACACACACACACACACATACATACACACACACACGTAAATAAAATTCTTGTTAGTCAGTAAGAAAAAAAAAATACATAATTAAGGAATTCACAAAAAATCACCTACCCTGTATGTTTAAGAAAATATACATTATAAATTATCAAAAATGCAGATTAAAATATTTTCAACCATCATATTGGCCACAGTTTTAGAAATTATAATGTAGGCCAACAGAAAGGAAAATTGGTACACGGCTATATGGAAGATGGAAGAATATACTGAAATAACTTTTACAGGGATCACTTTAATAATACGCTTCAAAAAAACTTTAAAATAGTGAGCTCCTTTGACTCAATAATTCCACTTCTAGGACAAAGTTGAAACACAAAGATTTCAATGGAAAAATTTCTAATCACTTTTTCAAAAACAGACCAATATCAAAGCAGAAAAGATGTAAAAAATATTTTAGGTTTCAGATATAACATTAATTTTCACTTTCTAAAAAAGTCAATACTTGTTTCACAGTAGAATTAATCTTTAATATTACCAAATGTCAAAAAACAGTTTTAAAACAAACCTTTTAACAGCATCCTTCTTCTGAGTATCTATTATATCCCACCATTTTGAAAGATATGAGATCTCAGACCACATAAATTTTCTCCTTGAGTCTTCTTTCAGCTTTATGACCATGTTATTAAAAATATACTGAGTCTTGTCTCTAAAGTAGTCATCGAAAGTCTTCAACCAACCTAAATTAAGACACAAATACACCACAAAGGTCTGATTCAAGTATCTGATTCCAACACATTCAAATTCCATTGCATTACCTTTGGATACTCTTAGATGTTTCAGTCGCATAAAGACACATTTTAAATTTTAGCAAATATTTTCAAGTATGAAATTCAATCTGAATGAACATGAGATTCAAAAAGCCAACCCAGGACTGAAATGATGACCATACTCTGAAAACTTCACAAATTCAAATAAGAAATGAGAAATGAAAAAAACCGTCCAAGACCAAAAGTGATTTACATATATCTAACATAATTATGGGAGCTCTGGTGGTGCAATGGTTAAGGACTAAACTGATAACTAAAAGATCAGCAATATAAACCCTCCAGTTGCTCCATGGGAGAAAGATGTGGCAGTCTGCTTCCATAAAGATAGCCTTGCCACTAGGAGGGGGATTATGTAAGAGATCCTGGATAGAGTGGCAGAACAATGTGAAACAAAACTCAAAATCGTTTTGGGCGGGACCAGGTTTGCTGGTCTGATGGAGCCTGATGGAACCACTGAGGCTATGGTCCCTAGCTGCCCTTCAGGTATGGAATTGAACCCACACCTGTGGTTTCCAGCCAAACAAAAGACAGGCATATGAGCTGAACATTTACCCTTGGTAGATACACTCCTTGGAGAGAACAATCATGGGAGAATAGAAGGGCTGTGTATGCACAGGGAGACAGCTCAGGGGGCAGGAATGCTTGGAGGGATGGACACAGGGAAGAGGTAACTATTAGGAGGAAGTGGGAGGGAGCTGTTGCATTGTGGTAAATTACAGTCAGTGTCATGAGACAAAGTGTATGTGAACTGCTATATGGAAAGTGAATTTGCTCTGTAAACTTTCACCCAATAAAAAAATAAATAAAAAGATAACCGCCTTGGAAACCCAATGGGGGCATTTCTACTCTGTCCTATAGAGTCACTGAGTCAGAGTCACCTTCACAGCAATCGGGAGTGTAACTATAGTATATGATTTTATGATTTATAATTTACCTCTAAGGAATTTTCTAATCTTAAAAATATGCACAAGTTGATATCTTGTTCTCATGGTACAAGATCAGAATTTTATCCCGATACCACATCTAAAAGTCCCCACCCATTAAATAAAATATGCACAAGTTGATATATTGTTCTCATGGCACAAGATCAGAATTTTATCCCGATACCACATCTAAAAGTCCCCACCCATTAAATAAGTTAAAACAAAACGAAAATCAGAAGTATAAAGTATATCTAAAAGCAAGTAGCAGAGGTAATTACAACACTGTTCAGGAATATCGAAAAGTAGAATTCTGACAACAATAAGCACTAGTTCCAGAAACTTGTTTTATTATTCCTTCTGTTTAGAAGTACAAAAAAGAAACTAGTCAAACAACAAATGCATACACATCTATGAAAAGTATGTTTTTCTAACAAAAAAGTATAGATGTTAATAACTTGGTTCTCTGACTTTTCCTACTAAATCTCAGGTATTCTGAAATTTTTATCTGAAGACATTGGCAATTTGACCTTAAGAAAATGTTTTTACAAGATTCATCTCCAAATACAATCCTCATGTGGTAGAGTACTAAGCAATGCATGGAATGGACAAGTCAAAGACATACACAGCCACTAATTGCACCTGCTGGTGGTAGGCAGAGAGGCTCTTTGGAGAGTATCTTGTTCCCATTTTTAAAGTCTTGCCAGAAAGGGAGTTTCTACACACCCAGAAAGAACTACAACTTTATTGTTTGCAAACTTCAAACAAGTGAGAAAACTAAAATATTAAGGATCCAGCTGACTTTATTTTTTTTTCAATCTGTTTACCTGTAAATTAATATTCAATACATTTTTACTCACTGGCAAAAAAAAAAAAAAAATGCTAGGAAAGAAAAGACAATAAATTATTTTGGCAAAGCAAATAGCAGCTTCTAAAAAAGGTACTGCAGCTTCAACTGCATTTATTCTTTTTGGTTTAACTAAAATGTCCTTCCTTCATTCTACAAATACTTACTAAGCATCTACAATGTGACAGGCTCATAAGGCTAGAAGCCAAACAAGAATATAGTGTAAAATATCCCTCATAGGGCTTTCTTGGGAGCTCTGGTAGCATAATGCCTAAGGCACTTGACTGCTAACCAGAAGGCTGGCGGTTCAAACCCACCAACCACTCCTCGGAAGGAAGGTTGGGTAATCTACTTCCCTTGGAAACCCAAGGAGGGGTCGCTATGAGTCGGGTCCGACTCGACGGCACATAACAACAACAGCAGCCACAGGGCTTTCTTGACCTGGGGCACTTTTAAGCTGGTTTAAGTGAAAGGTGATGGTAGTTGCTGTCTGCCCTGGAGTTGATTCTGACTCATAGTGACACTATAGGATAGAGTAGTACTGCCCCATACTGTTTCCAAGGCTGAAATCTTTAAGGGAACAGATTGCCAGGTCATTTCTCCTAGGGAACCACTAGTGGGTTTGAACCACCAGTTAGCTGCTACCAGGGCAACTTAGCCAAAGAATGCTTCCTGGATAATTTAACTTTTCTATATTTAAATTAAAAGTCTGTATGACTAGATTAATAAGCTATACATAAATTATTCTATAACTTGCCATGTATAAAGATCTGTCATGAAAAAGTGCTTTCCAAAGAATCTTATCTTGCTTCACAGAGAAGCCTAACCAGAGCCCTACCCCAGAGCACTGAGGCGGGGATCCACATGTGAATTCCCAAAGACAAGCAAAGAAAATCCAACCCACCCTTAAACGCAGATGCCCCAAGTTTCTGCTGACCATGCCAATACCCTGAGTTGAAAAATGTCAAGTGCTCAGAACTGAACCTGGGATGTATTCGATTTAATAACCTAATGCCATCAAGGTGATTTAGACTCATAGTGACCCAAAGGCAGAGCAGGTTTTGAAGGCTATAAATCTTCATAGAACCAGACCACCTCACCTGTCTTCGGCAGAGCAGCTGGTGGGTTCCAACAGCTGACCTTCTGATAGATAGATATACTAGCACCTGATGAAGATTAGCTAGCAGCAGAAGCAGTCTTTAATTGCCCCTTCCCAATCTCCACCACTAAACCAGATAAAAGGGGAGACGATAAAGGTAATGAAAACTATACAATTTATTTAAAACATTTAAACACAGATAGCCCCTAACTAACACTGCATTCTGCTCCAACAACACCATCTTAAACTGGTTCTGACATAAGTTCAGTAATTTTTTTTTTTCCTTTTGAGGGGAGGAGTTCATTATTATTGCCTTTTTTTTTTTT